GGTCCTTATCTCTTCTTTGTTCCTCTTTGGAATTCAGGGTCTCTCTCTTGGCAACCTTCTCTACCTGGTACCAAGCTAATTTACAGCTTGTTTGTTCAAAAGCAGTCAGGCATCTAACGGATAGCTGTTTCTGGGTGAAAGAACTAAATGGGCTGGGGGAAAATGCTGTGCTCTTTAAAAAGCAAAAAGCAAGTTGCAAGTTAAATTTTTAAACATAATGTGAGATAGAGTGCACTATTAAATGTATGTTATACATTATGTGAAATATATAGAGAGTATAAAATTATGTATTAAAACAATGCCCTTCACTAGCAAGAGACTTTTGCAAGAAAACAACCAAGCTCAGAGAAGCCCAAGGTCTCCCCAGGGGTGGACTGTCATGTTCCTGACTCAATTATTGGGTCAAAATGGACAACAGATTAACATCTTACAAAATCATTGTCAGAACCTGCATCAATCAAATGCTATTTTAAAAAGCAAGAGAAAGGTATAAAAAACAAGCAGATAAAAAGAGAGCCCCACATGAACCTTGGAAAGTGGGGGACAAAGTCTGGTTATCTACAAGAATCTAAAATCATATCAAACATGTAAAAAACTTGGATACAAATATGTAGGGCCTTTTGACATGGAGAAAGTTATAAATCCTGTTTCAGTACGTTTAAAGCTCCCAAAAACTCTAAGAAAAATTAACTCTGTTTTTCACAGTGATCTTTTGAAACCATATAAGGAATCTGAAAAGTGGAGACCAGCAGTGTCTAACCCAAACCCAATTTTGATTGAAGGAGAACAGCACTTTGAGGTCAAGGAAATATTGGACTCTAGAAAACTTAGAGGGGATATTCAGTATTTAGTGCATTGGAAATATTTCCCTAAATCTTTTGTTGAATGGGTTTAAAAGAAACATGTAAAGGCACCTGACTTGCTCTCAGAATTTTATAAAAAATATCCAGACAAACCTTAGTAAAATACTGAAAACAATGTAATATATATGTAATATATATATATAACCTTAACCTATTATTTTCTAAGCTTCCACATCCACGAGGTGAAGAAAGACCTTTTTTGAGGGGGCAGCATGTCAGAACCTGCATCGATCAAATGCTATTTTAAAAAGTTATAGCAGTCAATGGGTATTTGCTTGATTTGATTCTGCCATTTGTATCTTGGGGGCGGGGGGGGGAATGGTAGTTTAAGTTGTGTTTGAGTTATTGCTATGAGATGGAGAGGCGCTCAAACTGATATGGAAAGTTACAGCAAGACCTGAATGCAGACAAAACCGGTGGTAGTCTGAAGGCTGGGAAGGACCGTGTTATCAATGGGACGAATGCACAAGGCCACCATTCTGTGAGAAAGGGTTTTGGCGCCAATGTAGTAAAGCGGGGGAATAAGTAGAGAGAAATCTGCACAGGCTTTAGTTTTAGCAATGCTTTGCTTCAAGCTGCATGTACCAACCAATAAAGGA